ATTCTAGCCACCACACAGTTACACCCATTGAGCCGACTCTTCAAGTTTCAAGAAAACTATCAATCTCTCTCTAGTCCTAAGAGAACGTCATATCTCTCAGATTATCATTCTAGCCACCACGTAATCACCCTATCAAGTTGACTTTTCAAATTTCAAGCCTAAGAAGTGGATCCTTCTAAACCCATACAAAAACAGCCTCGAGTATAATCAAACGTAGTCACATTATAGTCCATCACCACTAAACAAAAAATAAGTTGTGTCATCTCTCACATATATGATTCAGCCACCACACAATTACACCATCAAGTCGACTCTTCAAGTTTCAAACCCATTGAGCCGACTCTTCAAGTTTCAAGAAAACTATCTATCTATCTCTAGAATCCTAAGAGTACATCATATCTCTCACATTCTCATTCTAGGCACCACACTATCAAGCTGACTCTTTAAGTTTCAAGCCTAAGAAGTGGATCCTTCTAACACCATACAAAAACAGCCTCTAGTATAATCAAACATAGTCACATTACAGTCCATCATCACTAAACACAAAATAAGTTGTGTCACTTGTCATTCTAGCCACCACACAGTTACACCCATTGAGCCGACTCTTCAAGTTTCAAGAAAACTATCTATCTATCTCTAGAATCCTAAGAGTACATCATATCTCTCACATTCTCATTCTAGGCACCACACTATCAAGCTGACTCTTTAAGTTTCAAGCCTAAGAAGTGGATCCTTCTAAGCTCATAGCCCAATACAAAAACATCCTCTAGTAAAATCAAACATAGTCACATTACAGTCCATCACCACTAAACACAAAATAAGTTAAGTCATCTCTCACATTTATCATTCTAGCCAGCACACAGTTACACCCATCAAGCCGACTATTCCTGTTTCAAGAAAACTCTAAATCTCTCTCTAGAATCCTAGGAGTACGTCATATCTCTCACATTCTCATTCTAGGTACCGCACAATTACACCATCAAGTCGACTCTTCAAGTTTCAAAAAAACTATCAATCTCTCTCTAGAGTTCTAATAGTACGTCATATCTCTCACATTATCATTCTAGCCACCGCATAATCACCCTATCAAGCTAACTCTTCAAGTTTCAAGCCTAAGAAGTGGATCCTTCTAAACCCATACAAAAACAGCCTCGAGTATAATCAAACGTAGTCACATTATAGTCCATCACCACTAAACAAAAAATAAGTTGTGTCATCTCTCACATATATGATTCAGCCACCACACAATTACACCATCAAGTCGACTCTTCAAGTTTCAAAAAAACTATCAATCTCTCTCTAGAGTTCTAATAGTACGTCATATCTCTCACATTATCATTCTAGCCACCGCATAATCACCCTATCAAGCTAACTCTTCAAGTTTCAAGCCTAAGAAGTGGATCCTTCTAAACCCATACAAAAACAGCCTCGAGTATAATCAAACGTAGTCACATTATAGTCCATCACCACTAAACAAAAAATAAGTTGTGTCATCTCTCACATATATGATTCAGCCACCACACAATTACACCATCAAGTCGACTCTTCAAGTTTCAAAAAAACTATCAATCTCTCTCTAGAGTTCTAATAGTACGTCATATCTCTCACATTATCATTCTAGCCACCGCATAATCACCCTATCAAGCTAACTCTTCAAGTTTCAAGCCTAAGAAGTGGATCCTTCTAAGCTCATAGCCCAATACAAAAACATCCTCTAATAAAATCAAACATAGTAACATTACAGTCCATCACCACTAACATCTCTCACATTTATCATTCTAGCCAGCACACAGTTACACCCATCAAGCCAACTATTCCTGTTTCAAGAAAACTCTAAATCTTTGTCAAAAAAATTCTAGGAGTACGTCATATCTCTCACATTATCATTCTAGCCACCGCACAATCACACTATCAAGCTGACTCTTCAAGTTTTAAGCCTAAGAAATGGATGTTCTAAGCCCACACAAAAACAACCTCTAGTTCTAGTAAAATCAAACTTAGCCACATTACAGTCCATCACCACTACACACAAAATAAATTGCGTCATCTCTCACATTTATAATTCTAGCCACCACACAGTTACACCCATCAAGCCGACTCATCAAGTTTCAAGAAAACTATCAATCTCTCTCTAGAATCCTAAGAGTACGTCATATCTCTCGCATTCTCATTCTAGCCACCGCACAATCACACTATCAAACTGATACTTGAAGTTTCAAGCCTAAGAAATGGATCCTTCTAAACCCATATAAAAACAACCTCTAGTAAAATCAAACATAGTCTTATTACAGTCAATCACCACTAAACACAAAATAAGTTGCGTCATCTCTCACATTTATCATTCTAGCCACCACATAGTTACACCCATCTAGCCGACTCTTCAAGTTTCAAGGAAACTATCAATCTCTCTCTAGAATCCTAAGAGTACGTCATATCTCTCACATTATCATTCTAGCCACCGCATAATCACCCTATCAAGCTGAATCTTCAAGTTTCAAGCCTAAGAAGTGGATCCTTCTAACACCATACAAAAACAACCCTCTTCAAGTTTCAAAACTAAGAAATAGATGTTCTAAGCCCACACAAAAACAGCCTATAGTAAAATCAAACATAGTCACATTACAGTCCATCACCACTAAACACAAATAAATTGCGTCATCTCACACATTTATCATTCTAGCCACCACACAGTTACACCCTTCTAGCCGACTCTTCAAGTTTCAAGAAAACTACAGATCTCTCTCAAGAATCCTAAGAGTACGTCATATCTCTCGCATTCTCATTCTAGCCACTGCACAATCACACTATCAAGTTGACTCTTCAAGTTTCAAGCCTAAGAAATGGATCCTTCTATGCCCATTCAAAAACAGCCTCTAGTAAAATCAAACATAGTCACATTACAGTCCATCACCACTAAACACAAAATAAGTTGCATCATCTCTCACATTTATCATTCTAGCCACCACACAGTTACACCCATCAAGCCGACTCTTCAAGTTTCAAGAAA